GTAGGATGCCATCTCCAATGAGCCGAAGATTGCCAGAGACATGTCACGGCCACACAATCTGGATTGAAGGTACGATGATCTTGAAAGCGATCGACTGCGCGGCATGTCGTAGTTCTACTACTACTACTTCTACTACTACTACTACTGCTATCACTACCATTTCTTCGGAGACTGCCGTGCTGGAGCCAAAAAAGTCTTGGCGAAGACCTTCGTGTTTAGGCTTTGGTACTGAGGGCTTACGTTTTACTGTGTTCAGGGAAGAAAGAGTGCGTTGGATGGACGACCTGAAGTTGTCGAAGGTTGTTTGCGACGACTGTCGGCAGCCCAGGTGACCGTCCTCTTCGTTCTCATCGACAACTTTAACGAATTCAGCTCCAGGCCGTCAATCGCCCAGCTTGTATTGTTTAGGGTTCAGGGTTCAGGCTGGCGTGCTGGAGAGACCTGTAGTCTCTCTCGCTCTCTCGCTCTGCATGTCTGGAGCACTGGGGAGGAGAGAGACTGGTCTTGTCTAAGAGCCCTTTGGGATATTCTTATGCAGTCGAGCATGCTTCCTGCTTCAGCGTTGTGTGTGTCCGCCTCCAACAAATCATGCTGCCCCGCAGACACATTGAACCCCCCGCCACAGTGCCTTGCATGTTCTAAAAGATGACAGTCTTGCTTGCGTTTCACTAGGTTTTTCGATACAAAGCTAGTGATCTTGGGATCCTCAGAGGTGCACCTGGAGTGGTTCTTGGGACTAGGGTTCGCAATGCTTGGCGCTCTTGCATTTTTGGCGGTCTTACGCTGCAGTTGCAACAGAACATAGTCTAGTATAGTGTACTACTACTACTACTACTACTACTACTACTACTACTCTCGCACAGGGAATTTCGGAGCAGGTAATTTCATAAAGAAGAAGAGCCTTGAAAGGAAGCAGCCTGACGAGCTGCTGCAGTTTCTGAACGACTACTTCCGTGAGATGGCGGGCGCCTAAGGGCCTGGGTTTTGCGGCTTTGGGTTGGGGGGTTTCGGATATACGGTCTGGGTTTGGGGCAGGTTGGCTTCGGGGACGGAGCCTACCGCAAAGACTTCTCGCACGGAGAGCTTGGCTTATATCAAGCATCACCGTGAATCAAACCGAGCAATACCCTGCACCCTGAAGCCGAAGCTGCATTGTGTCTTCCACCGCTTCGAGGATGAGCGGAAAGCAGGGTGGCAGGATGGATGCTTTATCATGATTGGCACATAGAGGCCATCTTTGGACAGGCAGTTTCCATGCTGCTGGAAGGTATGTTCAGATGATCCAGACGAGATGTCGCCATGGCCCGTGCTACTTGTGTGGCCCTGGTCGATGATGATGCTGCTGATGGTGCTGAACCGATTGCAGAGTCAGTCAATCATTCAGTGAGCCCGTGATGGGAAGCATGAGATTACTGTCTAAGCTCTGACGAATGCAATGACAACCATGCAGAAGATGACAGCAATGGTGGTGGAGATGATGCTCCCGATCGTAGGTCGATGTCGTTGTCAGCATCACCAGTTGTATCGCCATCGTGATGAGCATCGTCGCAGCGGCATCGCCTTCACAATTGTAGCGAGGGTGATGATGATGCTGATGTTGATGATGGTGATGATGATAATGGTGATGATGATGTTACCCACCACCTCCACCTTCAGCGCCGCCACCACCAGCAGGAGCATTACATCATCATGATCAGGATCGTCATCAACTTCAGCATCATCATCATCATCAAGAGAACACCATCATCGCCCTCTTCGCCATCATTGTCCCATCTTCATTCATATCTTCGTGGATTCATTGTCTTTTTTTTCAGAAATGTGTTGCATAGGTGAGCGGGTGTCTGTCTGCTTCGAGTGCCCAGGACGACATCTGCAGGAAGCACAAGGTGACGAAGATAGAAACCGTCGCCGAAGAGTATGTCGCCTGCGTCGGTGCCTGGCCGTGTAGAGCAGAGCAGTGGCATGCTTGGGCAGGTCAGGACATGGCTGATTATAGTAGTAGGGTTCCCGATGGTAAAGTAAGCCTCATGCTGTGCAAGTTTGTGCGGCTTTCCGAGACATTTGCAGACCCAGCCGTAGGTTTGCAGGCATTGGCATGGGTGTGCGTTTCGGGTGCAAGACACGTAGCCCGGAACATGCACGGAGCCTCAGAATCACCAGGCCTCCGCGACCACCTCCTCCTCCTACTGCCGCTGCTATCCACGACTTCGTACTACTACTACTACTACTACTACTACTACTACTAGTACTAGTACTACTACCACTACTAGTCACGACTATCACTACTACTCACGACTACGACTATGGCTGCGACTG